GTGCCCTCTCATTGCCAAATAAATTAACTTTTATTTGAAATGTTTTTTCTTTTCGGTATTTTATTACCGAAAAACAATTAAATATACAAAACTATACAAAAATGTATGAAATAATTTTAAAAGTTTGACAAAACAGGAAATAATTCGTCACATTATACGAATTAATAACGACCAAAATTTGGTTTTATTTGGTTTTATTAATAAAACCAAATTGTATTATTTATAAATTTCGTGTGTTTTATTTGGTTTTATTGGTTTAACCAAATAACTGTGAACACTAATTATACATTATGATAGAATTATTGTATTGACAATATTTTATTTAGAAATAAAAATATCTTAATTTATTTTATACAGTATTGGGCGCACGAAGCGATTGCCACCACATATATCGAGAAAGACAAAACTGATACAATTATTGATAAAATATCAAAGGAATATATAAATTTTGACTCTTATTGGTTATATCGGGAATATATATTAACTAAAGCACAGTTAACTTCTTATGACTTCTGGACCGCTTTAGACCAATACTCAGTTATTGCTTTGAAGGACATTACAAGTAATTTATCAAAATTTTAATTATAAACAACGTATTTAAAAATTAGTAATATTTATTAATAATTATAAATTAATTTAATGCAATACTGTTATTATAATTATAAATTGATATTTCTAATTGTAGTTGAATATACAACTGAAGCGGCCAACACACTTGGCACATTCGGCAATCATAATTATATTAATAATAATACGAGAAAGGTCTATCATATTATTAAGAATGATATACAAAGCAATGCTAAAACAATCGTAGAAAAAGATATTGTTAACAAATGTAAAATTAAAACCAACACCGATTATAATAAAAATTGTTTCCACGAGAATATCAAACAACATGGAAAAGACGCAATTTACCAAATTAAGGTCGATTCACCCAAAGACAATGACGTGTGCTTTGAGCTCAAATATTTATTAATTAAATCAAAAATTACTCCGGCAACTATTGATATTCATTATAATGTGGATCCCACTGAGTTCGCTGCAGAGAAAAATAAAATATTTACATTTACGCCCATGGTCAAACTGACCGCCACTGACAAAGACATCGAGACATATGCTTTTTGTTTGCGAGATGTGTTGGCTCTGAGCGCCGAGAATTTGCTCATTTCATTCGTGGCCAACACTGGCGGTGCTGACGGTGACGATACTCTAGCAATCAGTATTGATTATAAGCCAAAAGCTAAAGACCCATGGAAGTTTACTGCTAATAAATTTATTCAAACATTTAATGCTAAGGAGAGTTCATTCAAATCATACACAGATTTATTTACTTACAAAGATAATGTTTATACATTTACCGGTAAGCTATTGTTTAATTAATAATATTTTCATGTAATTTATATATCAATATAGAAAAATTTATTATTGTAAATTTATTTTTATTTAATTAATGATTGACTTGTTATTTTAGTAATTATAATTATAACACGGCAGCTCTCATTAAAAAGCTTTTATTTTTGTTTTTAACTAGACATTATTTTTATTGTATTGTGGTAAATTTTCAAACATTAATCACAAATAACGTTAAATTTATTTACAATAACTCATAACGCAACTCATTACTCTTATATTTGAATTCATAAATATTGTAATATACTTATTAATAATAGAAAATAATAAAGTGTACTGCCATATAAAGCGGGCTAAATCACCATGCCCGGAGACGATTTTAATTTATACAAATTTTTGATGTGAATAAGATTATCTAAAAATAGCATTAATTAATTGATATTTTAATTAACTAATTATAGGAAAGCCTGTGACTGAAATCCCGACCATAGCTCATCTGATGGGACCATGGATTCAATATAATAGCAATTTACGCAATGGTTTGAATGAATACAGCGTTACTGTAAAGCAGGAGAAAGTGTTCAACGCTTTCACAATTAGACCCAAAATATGTACGGATTTATCGCAATGTTTTGATGTCAATGATATCGGAGTAAAGGCCGACACGACTGGTCTGATTCGAGTTTATACCTTTAATTTCGATGCACTCGAAGACAAAACCACTCACAATAAAGACACAGATTTAATAAAACTTGTCTTTTTTGTCGACTATTTTATGCCCGAAAACTTTAAACCCGAAGAAAACATTAGCATAACATTTGACTTAAAACTATTAAATTTCGGCGATCCTGTATATGAACGCACTGTTAGTGAGATTCTTAAATGTGATAAAACGGGAACCAATTTTGGCTATAAATCCAATCCGACCATGGACAGTCCCAATCATTGTGTTTGTAATGATGGTTATTATGGCGCTAAGTGTGAACAACAAGCAGCAAAACCAACTGAATTGAAAGTAGGACCACCAACAAAAGGAGATTGGACTGAAATGACTACACCAATAATAGGATATTTTCCAACCAAGGAAGGAAATAAATTAACGTTTAATTTTAAAAATATCAAAACAGATATTTTCGACGTCTGTCCGACCATCGAGTATACTGTGACAGAACCTAAGGCTTTAATGAAACTAACGGTACTATATTCAGAAGGTAGCGCTTCACCCGACAACCCAATCGACACATCCACTTATATCGATGAAGTGCTTAAGAAAACACCGGAAAAGGGAAATGCGTTCACGTTTTGTGTCAGCGATTTACGTAATAAACCACAGAAAACATTCTCTATCGTAATAACGGCTGAGGCGACAGCAACTAAACCTGAAGATAAAAAATACGATGCATCAAGATTGACAATCACTAAATTTACAGCAACCAAAATACCCATAAATCGACCTAATTTTATACAAAACGTTGACATTAAACATAAACAATACTGGACTCAACAGAAATGGCACACAATGTCTGTCGAAAATAATTTCATTCCTTCACAGGATAAGACTTCACACCAATTGAAAGGTTTGTTTAATTTTATTAATTTCGTTAAAAAATTTGTGTTGTATTAAATAATATAATATTTTAAATATAATTTATTTATTATTTCACAGTCACTGTCCTTAAAACCGAGACACAACCGATTGTATCATATTTTATTAGCGATTGGATTAAAGTTAGTGATGTGAAAGCATTTAAACCAACCATCTCATTTAAACTTGGAGACCAATACGCTAACTTAAAAATAGAACAAAGTGTAATAGCTGAAACAGATAAAGCAATACCAGTAGCAGCACAATTTACAGAAATAGTTTATGTAAAAACGCAAACAATATTCACAGACCAAGAAATTGCTGCAACCATTCCAGACGCTGCACAACAAATAAAATTGTTTTTAAAATTCACGTTAACGGCTGACACTAATAAAAACACTAATTTTGATGTTACTATCAATTCTGTGTCGATTTTTAATCCGTGTATATCTGATCCGAAAAAACAATGTAGCACTAAAGGAACATGCACACTAACGGACGATGCAAGTATTTACCAGTGCAAGTGCAACGGTGCTCAAGGTAGAAGTTGCGAAAAAGCTTTGTGTAAAGATAGTGTAAGTACAATATTATATAATAAATTCTATGTAATAATATGTTGAACTTTATTATATGGTTTGATTGTGTTTATAGACAAAGTGTAACTCATATCCAATTATACCGACGTTTAATGCAAACAATCCATTTGAAAGCCAAAATTGTGAGGTTATTCCTACAGGATCGCCACCAGTTGATACGGACACATGTATTTGCCCACAAACACAATTCAAATCTATTGCAAACAAACCAGGGTAAGTACCATGCTTACTCGCAAACAATATAAAATAAATATAGTTAAATTATAAAAAATAAAAATCATTAATATTATTTAAAATATTATAAAAGATGTGAAACTAAAAAAACATACAAATATAACAACGAGAAGATCTGTAAAAACGACGGAACAACGTTTAAATGTGATATATTCACTGCGACGGCTCCGCAATGGTATGACACGTATCAGGTCAGCCATGCGGACAAATACTTCCCACTCTATGCACCGAAAACAGCGGCCGACGAGTTGTCCATTGAATTCAGTAATATTCGGGCCGAAGAAGACGTCTGTTTTACACTTAACTACTATTCTTCGGGAACGTCGACAATAACCGTCACTTCGTCCGAAGCGGATAGTGTTGGACTTGTATTAAACGCTCTGACAGACAGTTCCCAATGGAATCAACAATATATATGCGGTTCATATTTAACCCACGCATACACTGCAGCCAAAGCGGTTACTATTAAAATTAAGGGAAGTGACATTCACGCCGGTATAAACATAGGGCCAGTGCTGGCCATTCGCAACACTTTTATCGACCAACCTGTACTTTCACATTATAACAACAAAGTCGACACAACAGCCGTAAAGACTGAGTGGCCGATTGTTATCGGATTAAAGGATAATTGGATATACGACGAGACAAAAAATGACAATGTTAAATTTGCGAGTAATACATTGAATGCTAATTAATTTTTATATCAATTACTGGTATTTGTTATATTTATTTCACTAGTAAAAAGTACAGAGAAACCATCAGAAACCAAATATACCACATATTTAATGAGTCAATGGATTGCTGTGAATGGCGCACACAGTTTATTGAGATTACAACTTAATCCCAAAACTGGATTTAAAGGCTTTACCATTGAGTTCGTTGTGTTCGATGAAAATATGAAAGAAGTACCCGACACTGGAAGACATATTTACGGCGACAAAACAATTGATCCGGTAATTGTGATTAGTATTTATTATTTATATTATTTATGCTTTATAATATTTTACTTTTCAATTATTCATTTATAACAGACCAAAACAATTATTGATACAATTCCTGGCGACGGTGCTATTGAAGAGAATTTACCCGTAGCTGAACATCAAAAAGTATTCCGCGTGGGAATGAAAGTGATCTATAAAGAGGACAAAACGGCAAATACCCTGTTCACTGTGAGCCAGATCAGTGTCAACGATCCCTGCGTTACTTTTGCTAACAATAAGATTACACCAAAAACTTGCGGTCCACAATCAATAGATGGAATGTGTTATCCAATAACTAAGGCGGTATATAATTGCAAATGTAAACCCGATGGTAAGGATCAACCTGGTGATTGTACCGCATCTTCACTGTCAAAACCATATCGTTGGATATTCGATGCATTCTCTAAAATTTTAAACTAATAGATAATATATAATTATGTTTACTAAATATAGTTTATATATAATCATGAACACGCAGTTAATTTTATAATTACAATAAATACGATTTTATTAACCAATTGAAATACTTTATTAATTAAACATTTAATTTACTTTAAAGATTAATCATTTTTCATAAACATTTTATTTTGAAAATCATATTTAATTAACTGCCTTTAAAATAATCCCGTATTTTTAATTAATCGTGTTTGACCATGGTGGTTCTCATGTTGGTCAGTTGTCAATGGTGAAAAGGCCATTATTGTTTAAATCGTATAAAAAATATAGCCGCATTAGTTTATTATATATCTTTCATTTAATATGTATTGAGTGCGGACTCTACTACAGCCATAGGCGGACAGTCCTGAGGGCCACGTTTGCCGCCTCTTCGTTGGGATAGCCGTAAACACCGGTCGATATACAGGGAAACGCTATGGACTTCAGCTGTCTTTCGCTCATCAGGTCCAGAGCACTCTGGTATGCGTCGCGTAACTGATCCGGTTGTTTACACTTCGGCCCCACCGTATGAATTATGTCTGTATTGATTATGAACAGGCAAGTAGTTAAATTTACAACTTGCAACATAATTTATAGACAAACATGTTAGAGATCAATTGGAAGTGTTTAAAGCAGTCAAAAAATTAATAATATTTGAATTAAAATGTTATTTTCTAAATTAAGTTTAACTATTTCCATTTATTATGTAAAATTATAAATATCATAGAATGTTATTTTCAAAAAAATAGTTTATATAATAGCATATTTATGCATTTCAACAAACTTTGTCCAAGTTCAACATTATTTGATAAATTCCCACTTTTATAAAACAACAATTGACTTGTTTTACATAGTTATTTGATTAGGTAATTGACATAATGTTAATTTGAATGTAAAATATTTTAAAGTATCAAGTAACATACAAATGTATTATAACAATTTATTGTATTTTATATCCTGGACTAAAATAACAGTAATTTAAAAGGATTATTAATAACGGGATGTTAATATTTATAAATAATTGCAAATAAAATACCGCTAAATGATTATAGGTGTAACATTCGTTTTGATTATTTTAATTTATAACTTAACTCATTGGTTACTATCATGTCAATAATTTATATGTAGGTGTATTTGCATTAATTTAAAGCTAGTTTCACAATTCAGATACAATAAAAATAAAATTTACAGTATTTTAGTTATACTTAGAGTCTCTATTTTTCGGGAGTTAAAACACCCAAATTCGGGCGGGATTCGGGAACATAAAACAGGCAAATTCGGGAAAAAATCGGGAGTTAAAATTCATTTTATTTTGACATTAAAACAATAATTATGCATTTAAAAATGAATTATATTTGATAATAACATGAAATTTGATATTCTCTTCTGTAAATTTATGCCTTCTATCTGTAATAATATTTTTAAATTGAGAAAAAGAACGCTCGCCTTCGACGGAGATAAATACAATTTTAAAATAGCATGAAATGGATTGTCACATATTTTGAGTTTAACTTTCATATAGTCCCCTTATCCTACATTATTTGAACTTTATAACAGTTTTTGGTATTTGTTTAACATTTCATTAAAATATTTGAAGAAAAAGCGATGATTATAGGGGTTTTTCGTGGCAAAAGTGCGTTTTCGGGACTATTTTTCTCATAATCGGGAGCATTCGGGACTATTCGGGAGTTTTCGGGACTTTTCGGGATTTTCTCAAAATATGCGAAAATCGGGAATATAAAAACTATATATATTGGTTCTATTTTAGTCCATATGCCGAACGGTATGTAATTCCCGATGATTTTATACACTAAATTTATTCGGGAGTTCCCGAAAAATAGAGACTCTAGTTATACTTCATTAAAGCTAATTATTTAACAAATTATAAAATATACATGGTATAATAAATACATATTATGTAAAGTATGGTATAATAATATTATGGATTTGACATTTCTAAATAATTTGTTTGTAAGTAATTATTGTCTTAAAATTTTAAAATATTAGAATCTAATATAATGATTAGATTATCCAGGGCATTTTTTATCAGATAAATTTACTTGTATTTATTAATGTGATCAATGTCATTTATTATTAGGACAAACACTTGTTTCACTATACAAGCCGGGCGAAAGCCGATGGAATAAAAAGCACCGGGGTTATCAAACAAAGTGGCAGCTCAGGCCAATTCGGCGCGGGTGTCTATATGCCCGATTTGCACCCTATGTTGTACTTTCGTAACGAAATTCTAGCCAATAATTATGGTGGAATAGCCGGTTCATTTAGTAACAGGTGTGATTATGTGGTGCTAATTGACCGTGATAGTTTAGATGAAAGTTTGCTCACTACAAATAATGTGGACGACAGGCATATCTATTGTTATCGACGGGATGTCTACGTGTCGGCGGATCAAGTGGTGGACAAACCAACGTGTTTGCGGACATTGACTGAAGGTGTGCCAAATAATGAACAATGTATACTTTTATAATCTTTATTATAAAGGTAATTTCTATTGTATAATTGAGTAGTAATTTTTAACCACAATTTGTATATGAAGAATGTGGTTTATAGGATCGTGATAGTATAAAAATCATTAATAAGTTTTAAAACAATGTTTGTTCCGTTTGTATTATTATTGTTTAATTCGAGTAATGGATTAATGCAATATGTTTACGTAAAGGTATATAATTTAAAAATATTTTCATAAATTAAGAATAAATATTAAAACAATAATATTATATAAATTGAGTGAAAAATTATTAATTTCTTGTGATTGGACATTATTTTCTTGATCATTTTTGTTTGGGAAATTACCTTTAGGCAAAAAATTACAGACTACAGTTATCTGATGCGCTTGACCAGGGCACTTTGCGCATCCTATATAGGTGGTATTTTTCCATACCAATGCTGTAAAGTGTTCAACAGTACCATGGTTATTCTGCCATATTATCCATGTATTATAGCTTATATTCATGACAGCTAAACAGGAAATGAAATTCCCTTTATTGTCTGATTAGATTTGGCTATATTTTCGCCGTAGGGATTTCGAGTAATCGTCGCTTGGTTTTAGGCACCTTATTTTAGCAATACCAATAGTCTAGTTTGATTTCAATTAAACTTATTGCATTAATAAATAATGTATTTTATTATTATTACATACCAGTTTATTTAATTCAAGATCTGGTGCTTTATAAATGTGCTGGATAATATTAACTTGATGGCACTCGTCTAGCCATATGTTATTTTCAATACCTTTTTGTGCGTGTGCATAACCTGTATAATAAGTATTTTATAATTATCATGGTATTTATAATATAAACATTGCTGTCTTACCAGTAAGCGTAAGCAAAACAAGGATTGCAATTAAATTTATTGTTTTGAAACTTAAATTTTAAAAAGTTTAAAATTCAATATTGAAAATTATATTATATTGAGATTCTGTAATTGTGTCAGATGACAATGGGCAAAATAACCATGGTACTGTTGAACACTTTACAGCATTGGTATGGAAAAATACCACAAATATAGGATGCGCATAGTGCCCTGGTCAAACGAATCAGATAACTGTGTTTTGTAATTTTTTGCCTAAAGGTAATTTTCCAGACAAAAATGATCAAGAAAATAATGTCCAATCACCAAGAAATTAAACTTTTTCACTCAATTTATATAATATTATTGTTTTAATATTTATTCTTAATTTATGAAAATATTTTTAAATTATAT